TTCTTTCTTTCTTTTTTTTGCAGGGCAGTTGAGGGAGAGAAGAAAACAATTAACTGCTGCGTTTACTGTCTGGGCCCACACCCAGCTCGTCAGGGCTGTGTTCACAGCCTTCCCGTGCCAAGTGTGTCACCAGGGCCTAATTGCAACCTCCAAGACAGGGAGTGGGGTAGGGAAACTGGGCCATAAGAAAGTCAGAAAAGCAATTAAAAAAAAAAGAAGTGGCAACTTATAAAAACTAAGATTCTCAAACTGGAAAGAACTCTGGAAATAGAATCAAAGAGCTGGCATCCAGCTCAGGAGTTGTCTGGTCAAAAACCCCTGCTACGGCAGACTGTGTCCGTGGCCTGCCCAGCGACGCCCCCTTCTTCCTTGCTGACAGCACCCCAATTTTGTTCAGGTACTGAGTGCCCAGGTGTTTCATGGGTATTCCCCACACTCATTGACCGATTTAAGCTAATGAAACTAATTCCTCTCTCTTTGCTGGTGACTGGAGGAGGCACACCAATGCGACTCCACTCTGGCCAGTGAGGTATAAAAGGAAGCCTGTGAGGGCTTCTGGGAATGTTTCCTTCATTTGTAAAAAGAAACTCAGTACTTGCTCCTTCCTGTATTTGGGGGTATGTGTATGAGGAGATGGTACTCCCAACTGTGGCTGGACCATGAGAGGAAACTCAAGAGTACCCCAGAGTCGCTGTCCCAGAGCCCTGACATCCTTGATGTGCCACGTCATCTACCCAATTTTATTAGGTAACAGGACTTCTTATTACGATAGATAACAAATTCATTACTGTTAAAGCAACGTTTCGTCTTTGGTTCTGTCAGTTGCAGCCTCAAGCCTCCTACCTGACAAGTTTGCCCGCACTCCCTTCGCGGGTCTCTGCCAGAACACCTCCAGGAACCGAGCGCGCACTCCCTTCCTCCCTCAAGTAGAGACTGGTTATTAGGATGTCCTCACTGATACCAGTCAGATCCTGGGAACTAAGCCCGTGATGGAGGCCGATTTCTGCCCCCTGGAATCAGAAAGAACAAGTGATCATCCTCTTTCCCAAGACTTCTCTGTAGGCCTTAGAGGACAGCTTCCATGTGTATCTGTGTCTTGGTTTTTCCCATCTTTTCAGGTCACTGAGAGCCACTTTGTCCAAGGCTGGCTCGAATGCCTAAATCCATCTTACTGATGAGAAAACCAAGGCTGAGGGAGGGGACAGGCCCTGCTAAAAGTCACCAGGCAGGCAGAGCCTCTCAGTAATGGTAGGTAGATGGTGATAATGCCGTGGGAATGGTACCGCAATAAGAGTTATCCATCATTTGTAACTGGGGAGGGATCAAGCAGCTTCATGGAAGGAGGGAGTATTTGAGCTTGACCTTAAACTCTAAGCAGTACTTTTAAAAAAAGAAGAGAAAGAGAGAGAAGAATCCAAAAGTAAATCCAAGAATGACTTCCACAACAATGTCAACATTACCTCCTTGAGTAATTTTCCTGGCAGAGAGCTAAGCACCTTGTGAGACAGCCCATCCCTTCTAACTCTTAGAAATTTCTTTCTTAAGCCAAATTGAGCCTGCTTCTGTGTGTCTCGTCCATTGGTCCTAATTCTGCCTTCCAGGCCTTTAGAGAACAGGGCAACTGCCTCACCCCCACAGCAGACCTTTGTCGTGGGGCAGGCCCCAGACTTTCCACTTCCCCAGGCTGAATACCCCAGTTCTTCCGGTCATTTGCCACAGGACGTTGCTGCAGAGTCCTCATCATTAGCCTTGAGACAGGCCCTAATTTGTAGATGTTCCTTAAAATTGGTTGCCCAGAACCGAGCATAACACTCCGGGGTGGTCTGCCAGTGAGAACCGAAGCCGTGGCACCCACTCAGCTTACGGTCTCTATTAATCATTCTGCTATCTTCATCAACATAACTTTATGAGCCATTTCAGAAAACTCATCATTAACCATTCTAGAAACCTCTTTCCCAGCAAGATAAAAGTTGCAGATAATTTATTGTTCATGGCAACAGCTTCCTGAAACACTTACCAACTCATTAATAGAAAGCAACAAATGACAATTTCCACCTTTCTGAACCCCTTGCCTCAAAGTCTTTGCCCTGCTGTGACCATCAGTCCTAAACGAGTATGTCACAAGCCTTACCCAGTCCTAATCAGGCACTGCCTTTCCCCTGCAGTTGTAAGGCTCATCTTAAACAAGATTTAGAAATCCCAGTAAGTATCTTGACTTTGTCTGACTTCCTCCAGGACACTCCTAAGACCCTGATGAAGTAGAACCCTCCCTCACTGCAGTAGGAATAAACTCAGTGTTTTCTCATCAGCAGGTTGCTTCGGTGGTATCTTGGGGAGCCAGCATTCTACACCAGCAACCCATGGGAAAAGAAGGACCCTCGCCTCCCTGACCGATCATAGCTCACTGGGGACCATCCCCTTCCAGTCCGCTGGCCTTCCAAGTCCCCTCAGCACGGACTGTGAGGAAGCTCCTCCCCTCAGGATTTCCAAAGGGCTCTAGGCCATCTCTTCCCAGGCTCTCCCCTTGCAGCTTGGGGGGTTTTTCTGGAGCTGAGAAAGGAGAAGCCATTAAATTGCCTGACATGCCCTCTAGTCACCCACCCCCACTCCCCACCCTCATTTCACTCAATTGCCTTCTCTCTCTCTCCCAAGACACAGAAAAAAGGATATAGAAATATCAGTAGACATATAGACAGGGAGAGAGTGCTTTTTAGTCCCGGGGGCCTCCTTTATCATGTTCTCTTAGCATTTTCTCACTCAGTTCTGAGCTTTCACAAGCCTACCCCCAGAGCGGTCACACTCAGGTTTTTAGCACACTCCTAACTGCCTTTTATTTTTCTTGGGGAACTTTCAGGCCACACTTTTTGGAGCAGCCCACATTCCTTTGGATTAGCCATGGAACAATTGCTATATAAATAAATGAATCTGGGAAATGAACTCCAAAGGCATCCTGCCTGATGTATGACCTTGAGCTGGGTGACCTGGGCAAGTGCCTCACCTTCTGCCCACCCCCCCACCTCCCGACAAGGAGGGGGCTGGGCTAGATGATCTTCAAGGGCCCTCTGGCCCTTTGAGATCCTGCAGTTCTGATTCCATGCCTAAGGGAGAGGCATTGGAAGGAAAATGTGCCTTTTGTTCTTAATTATAAAAACAAAACATACTTGCAGAACAAAAGCATGCAAAACCTAAAAGGTCGGTGATTCCTTCCTTCTCCCCTCAGTCCTCCGGCGCGAGTCTTCTGGGGGCAGTTCTTTATTTGCCAGGCACACGCAATGCATGCTTTTTGATGTTGACCTCAGTGCCCCCAATTTGCTAGGATAACGAAGGACTGTTCTGAGAAGAAACAGTGTCTATTCTTATAGTTTCTCTTTTTCCTGGAGGAAAATTGCAGAATTTTTTGTGTTAAGAGTTGCGCAGCGCTGCTACCTGGGACCTCACCAATGTCTTTGTCAGAAAATAGGACACAGAATCCTGGCCTTAACCCAAGACTTGGATTTGCAGGGACTGAGACTTCAGGAGAGTCAGTGACCAGGGTGCTGACTGTCCCTCAGTAGCCGTGGCTGGACAGTCAAGCCCAGAGCCTAAGACAGTAATACTGACCTCAACACCTTGCTCTTCCCACAAAACATGAACATGACCTTCTTGTGTGTTTAAAGTTTTAATCACTGACGTTGCACTCTGTAGCAGAGAACTTGGATAACGCAAATTGCTGGAGCATAACGCAGAGATATGCTTTGTTATCCTCCATTCTGGGGAAGCGGCCCATCAGAGAGAGAAGGACCAAGGGCACAGGCTACTGAAGTTCTCAGTCACAAGCTTAACTCCTTAGCTCACTGCTGGCCTCAAGGAAGATCAGATCCGAGGCAGGAGGAGTAAATGGGACCCAGCATGGCCATAGGAGGGAAACTGTGACAAGGCCATGCAGATGTGGGTGTGAGGTGTGGCTTGGTGATGAGGAAGGGGCAGGTGCTGGGAGAGGCATGCAAGGGAGCAGGAGTAACTGGATTAACTGGAGGAGGGCTGGGCTGCAGGACACTGCGGGGGCTTAAACAGGGAAACAGATTGAGAGACAGTGGGCTGAATTTGGCCCATGACAGAGCCACATCACACCACCAGGCCTGGGCCTTGGTCCCTGAAGGACCTGGGGAAGCTCATTGGAGGTTACAGAAGTGGAGGGCAAAAAAGCACAGGATGTTAAGACACTTGCGATAATATTGCTCACCCATTCATTCATCCATTCACTCTACAAATGTTTGCTGAGCCTTTTCTACATGCAAGGCACTATACTAGGCTCTGGGAGTATCGTGGTAAATGAGAGATATGTGGTTCTTGTTCTTATAAAGTCTTCAGTTTAGTGAAGGAAGCAGACATTGAGTTAATTTCAAGGTGTGGTCAGGCAGAGAGGTAGGACTAGAAGGGGTGGGTATGGACAGGGTCAGAGAGTGACCCGCATTGCAAGCGAGAGGGTAGAGAGAGCAGGTGCCTGCAAAGAACTAAATCACGTGGGATGGGGTTGAGAAATGTTGTTGGCATGATCTTGGGGAGAGATGATGGCCGCAGGGTAGGAGCGGTAGCTTCTAGGAGAGTCTGGCCACTACATCTAGCTGGGTTGGTGCTGGATTGGACGTGTAGGGAGTGGAGAGTGGGGAGTCGTGGATGACCTCTGGGTTTATGGCTTGGGGGACTGGGTGAGGTTGGGGTAGGAGTGGGGAGCAGGGGCCAGGGAGATGCCTCACATAGTCTCTTCAGCTCCAGATCCCACAATCACGTGACCTCTGATTCCAAGATGGAGATCAGAGGCTGTTTGGAATGAGAGTGCTTCCTCTCTACAAAGCTACTAGGAAGGAGTTAGTAAATTTCCTGCACTTCCAGAGCATTAATTCATTCTCCATGTTCTCTTCTCAACAATGATTTCAGATTAATTAGGAACTGGAATTTGGAAGGGGAGACTCAGGAGCACTTCCTTAAAAGGGAGTTGGGTGAAGTCCATGGGAAGCCAGGTCTCCAGGAGCGACAGGGAGTGGGCCAGTGCAAAGCATCTCAACAACGCTGTGGGAAAATCCATTCTTCCCATGACCTCACCTGGCAGTGGCTGTTCTATACACTCAGTTTCCTCATCTGCCAAATGGAGGCAGTCATCTCACAGGATTGCGGAGAGAAATAATTCAGACAAGTCCTGTCATAGGCCCAAGCACCACCCTAAAGGGCAGCCGGTACTTGGTCAATATTAGCTTCCATCCTTCACCCTCGGCCTCAACCAGCCCCTGTGGGACAGGGGATATTATCGACTGCCCTGGCTCACCATGCGGAGTGAGGCAAGTATGTTAAAGCCCTTGACGATCTGCACAGTATTATGCAAACACAGGTGTAATTACCAGCAAGATGATGGTGACTCATGGTAATAATTATAGTGAAATGTGACCAGGGGGTCAGTAGGCTGGTAAACAGTGGGGATAGATGGGAGTCCCTATGCAGCAAATGTGGGTGGGAACAGTATGGCTGGATAGAGAGAGCTTGGGACAAGGTCAGAAGGACTTGGGTTTGAATCTTGACTCTGCCACTACTAGCTGTGTGACCTTATGAAACTACTTGACCACTCTGGGTCTTAGCTTCTCACTTGAACAATATGGGTATACCATCTAGCTCATAGGGTTGTCCCCAGCAAGCAACCTAACATGCAGAGCTCCTGGTACCCACCAGGTGGAAAAACACAGTGTCCACTCCAGGTAAAGGCATAATTTAACCTCATGCTGCCTCAGGTTCCTCATTGTTGGAAAGTGGATATTAACAGTACCTGCTTCCTAGGTTTTGATGACTAAATCAGGTACTATGAAGAAACTATATACAATACCTGAGCTAGTCAATGTTAATTATTATCAAAATAGATGCTCTAGGGAGCTGACCCTGCCCCGACTCCAGGCCTCCTCTGACTTTACCTGTGGTACTTACCTACAGGAAAAATGCTCCTTTACAGCAGGAAGGTCTTGGATTCCAGAGAGAGTTCTGTACCATCTCATAGTCCCTGTAGGGAGCAGCCTGGAAGTCATCTGGAAAGTACAGCTGGACTCAGGATCTTTTGGTAACCTTGGCAGAGCTATTAATGCTTTTACAATTTAAGGCCTATTCATCTGCTCTAGGTAGTAGAGCTAGCTCCTTTGTAAGTCAGGGTTCCCCTAAGAAGCAGAAACAACAAGATATGTATACATATTTATTTATTTTAAGGAAATGACCTCCCCCACCTCTGATTTTGGAAGCTTAGTAAATCCAAAATATGCAGTGTAGTCCAGCAGGCTAGAGAACCTGGGAAGAGTTGCAGTTTGAGTTTAAAGAATTCCTATTGCTCAGAGGAGGTCAGTCTTTGTTCTAGTCAGGCCTTCAACGGAATGGATGAGGCCCACCCACATCATGTAGGGTCATTTGCTTTACTTAAAATCTACCAGCGTAAATGTTAATCTCATCCAAGAAAAAAAAAAGATAGGAAGGAAGGAAGGAAGGAAGGAAGGAAGGAAGGAAGGAAGGAAGGAAGGAAGGAAGAAGAAGAAGAGAAGAAGAAGAAGAAGAAAGAAAGAAAAAAGAAAG